TAAGCCTATGGGTACCAGCTTTCTGCTGCAGTCTCGTAGTAGGGCCGAAGTATTTTGTTTAAGAAAATCTTTTCAAATGAATACGCAAGAATATTTGTTTAACTGAACTAACGAAACTTACGAGCTCCTAAGGAGTACTTTATTATTTACCAATAGTGAGGAAAAATAAAAAATATTTTATTTACATTTTAAATAAAAACTTTTAAACGCGAGGAAAAACAGTAGCAAAAAATCGTATTATTTTTGATGAATTTTTTTTTTTTTTTGTTTTAATGATTTGCGAGACTAGAGTGCGAGATGAGGTGCATTTTGACAAGTATAAATCGTAAAATAAATCGTAATTAGAAAATCAAATCTTTATAAATGAGTTGATGGTTCCGTTCAAATTTACTTTTGAAGTCTATAGATTTCCCTTTGATTATTAATATTACCAAAAAGTTTTGGATCGATATAAGTGATCTTGATGTTTCAGCTATTTTTTTTAAATAAACCAAGGAAAGGAAATTAATCTCGATTTATGTTTCCATAAGAATTAGTTTATTTAACTATACAATGAATTATTTATTAATTGAAGGATTTAAAATCCATTTATGAATAAAATAAAAATAAAAATAAAAAACAAGAATAATTAATATAATGAACAAATTTCATACCTCTTTTAAGGGTTGAAATTTGGTTATTAAAAAATTTCAAAATAAATACATTATCGGCATTTTTTTCAGATATCACGAACGATACTTTCAGGTCTGATAATCCTATTGAATCCTTAAGATAGATTATCAATGAAATGTATTTAGTGGATTTTTAAGACCGTGTGCACAATTCAGGAAGGGTTTACATGATGTACGAAATAATTGATGGCGCACCTGACTGTATAATTGATGTGAGGTATGATGGTAAAAAAAAAAATACCATTATTCGTAAAAAGCTAATCTCGACGTTTGTGAAAATTATTTTTGAAATTTTTACAAATTGTATTGGACGCGTAAATTTCGCGTAATTTCATAAAAACTTCCTTCCGAACCCGTGGGATGTGTAAAATCATATTTAATGTTAAATATTAACATCTTTAGAAAAGAATATTATTATTTTGTTACGTAAATAAAATGCTTACGTTTTTTTTTTTTCGTTATATAATAAATTAGGGATTGGAATCGATTCTAAAAAATCGAATTAATCGAAATCGATTTTAGTATAATGTTTATGCCCAGGGGTTAGCTAACATGACTTGAATAATTTTTTTTAAAGTTTTAGCATATCAAATTTAAAATAAGTAATATAATTAATTTATTGATGTTTTTTATAAATAAATAATCCAACCCTAACTCTAAACTATCCCTCGTTTTATAATAACATATTCGATACTAACTCTAACCCTAATTTATTAATTGATTTTTTTTAATTTTTAAATAATTAAATTCTTTAATTTTATAATTTATTTATTAATTTTTTTTTTTTTTTTTTTGTAATTTATTTATTCAGTTTTCTTAATTTGTTAAAAAAAAAAGTTTGCAGATATAAAAAAAAAAAATAATACAAATTATTTTATAATCGCGGGTTTTTTTCTTAGAATTATTTTTTTTTTATTTTAATGTTCGCCCCTTTTAAAATCTTTTTTTATAATTGAGCGTTCTAATATTTAATTTTACTTTAATTATTTTTTTAATTTGCATATATATATCCCCTATTTTTTAATTTAATTATTTTATTTTTACTTTCCGGATTTAATTTATTTAGTGTGTTTAACTAAATGAATCGATTATATTCGATTAATAGAAATCGAAAATCGAATCTTAGAGTCGAATCTTGAAAAATCGATAATCGCGATTAAATCGATTCTCAAATCGATTCTAAATATCGAAATCGATTCCAATCCCAAGAATAAGTATTCCGTGAAAAGATCAAAATTTTTGATTACAAATCATTTTAAATGAACAAAAATTAAGGAATTTCACAAAAATAACGGATAAACGATTAATTTAAAAAGATCGGAGATGGATTCTAATAAAGATTACCACCGATTTTAATGGTAGCTTTTATTAGAAGTGTCCCGGTCCCAAATATAAACAACAAATATAAGCAAGTGTTTAAATTGCCTGCTCATGTTCCATAAAATTTGTAGAAAAAAAAATGATAAATTTAAATTGGATTGAACACCGTTTTTGAACACTATGTGAAACATAAGGGTGACAAATAATATTTTTAGTATAAAAAATGTTCAAAGTTCCCAGATTAATTGATAAAAATGAAACATAGTAGGGCGTGATATTGTGTGATAAATAGCCACCTAATCTGTATAATTAACGCTAAACTAACTTAAACTAACATCGATTTTAACGATTATATCTAGATTCATTTATCGAATTCTTTTTTTTTAAATAAAACTTAAACACATGCTTTTTATATTTGAATGCTACAAGTTTGCTTAGAGATAAAAATAGGTTTTATAAATTTTAACTTTATTTAAATACTGCTTTTAGCAAAGTTTTTATTTAAAAAAAAATTTCTATAAAAATCGGTCATATATTTTTGGAAATATCGATCACGTGCATGTGATTTTTGCTGGAAATCGTGTTTTATTGGCAATAATTATACTAGCCAATCGGACACATTAGTGAGGTGCTAATTTTTTATTAATAATTTTGCCATTTTTATCATGCTAAACTTCTAAGTTTCGTTCAACAACCTTAGTCGCAATAAACGTTTTATTGTGTCCAAACTATTTTTTTTGACTATTAGAAATGGATTATTAAAGCTAATCTGAATTCTATAATAAGTATTTTATTTCAAAATTTTTTTGAATTCCTTTAATTCCTATCATTTATTTCGTTTTTTGGGTTTATTCCTTTTCTTTTTAATACCTCCACCATGTTTCTTTAATCCACCCCTATTACTACTTTTACGGTCACTTGCGCTATTTTGCACACGCTTAATATCTTTAGAACTTAGCATTAACATTCCATTTTTAACTTTTCCTATACCCATCCCGATACCTTTATCTCGCACTTGTGGTGGCTTTGATGATGATGATGCCCATTTATGTTTTATCGATTGATGATAAAGTCCAAGATTTTTTGCCTTTATTATAATAAATCTTATTTGGTGAATGTTACCTTTTGAGAAGTGGTATACAAAGCAATGTTTTACTAACCTCTTCGAGCTCTTGTTGATCTCTCTCTTGTCGTTTTGATTGAATTCCTAAAGAAATTGGCGTTGGAATTTTCATACCTTTCTTTGGCTGTCATATCATACGTTTTTATGTTAAGTTTCTAACATTAAAGGTATTTACATAATCTTTATCGAGAACTTACCTTGGCGCCCAATTCAAACATTTTTCGTTCGTTATATTTCCTACGATCTTTTCCTGTTAACTGTTCGGCGGCTAATTACATCCATCGAAAAACGAACGTATTGATTAATGTATATAATTATGTATATATATGTATGCCAATGGAGTATAACTTACTATATTTCTCTAATAATTTAGTGGTTTTTAATAATTCCTCCAATTCTTTATCATTCTTTTTATTTATCCTGTAATTAATACATATATATAAATACGAGAATCAAATAAAAAAAAAATTTGTTAAATAACGTTGAAGAAATCAAATTTACCAAAATTTACCTCTCCTCTTCTAATTCTTTAATAACTTTAGGTGCCGATGATATTTGGGTTTTTTCATTCATTTTAGAAATCTTAGCCGACTAATTCATAAATCATTTAGTTAAAATTATAATTACATTACAATTCAAATTTATTTTTTATTTTACATAAAAACGAATAAAGGTAATGAACCATAAATGATTTCCATTCAATAATATTTGAGCCACTCTTTGATGCTTTTTTAAGACAACTATCATTGAATACTATAACATCTGGCTCTTTTTTAGGCGTGGTATTATTAGCCGTGGTGGAAGGTATGAAGGAAACATGAGTGTTATTAGTGCCGGATCTATTGCTTTTTGACTTTGTCATCAAGGAAAAAAAAGTGTCGTGTGAAAAAAACTATGAAAAAAAGGTATAAATAGTCGTGTAACAATTATATTGATGATATAATTATTAGATCACAATAAATTTTTTTAAGTTTAATAATTATCGATACCTTTTACAAGAACAGACAGACTATCAAAGATGTCGTCTTCCTATGCTGACAGGATGTCTCGTTCGTTGTTCGTTTCTGGACTATCACGACGAACAACGTGAGTTCTATTAAAGTGTGTTTTCTTAATTTCTAAGTTCTGCTAATAAATATTTTTTTACAACTTTAGTATCGAAGATCTCGAAACTGCTTTTAAAGAATTTGGAAGACTTAAGGATGGTAAATTATTCTAAAAATATCGATCAATTTAATATCAATTAGTTTGTAACTTTTCTATTTAACTTTTAATTTAGTCTATATACCAAGAGATTATTATACCAGGGAACCAAGAGGATTTGCGTACATAGAGTA